TGCAGTGAAGGCAGGAAAATGCTACGGAGTTTTCCACAGGGAGCCAAAATCCCCGAGTCCCCCTGACCATGAAGGGTTTGTGCTCAACCCCAGCCGTGCCCAGGCAGCTGCTTGCAACCGAGCTACCAGCAGTGGTTAACGGCTTGTGCGGATCCAGTCCCACTGTGTGTGAGGAGCTCTCCCCTTCCCCAGAGCTGCTCCCTGGGAGCCTGCCTGTGTCTGGGCACCCAGCAGAGCTGCCGAGGCTTCCCAGACAAAACAGGGAAGCAGAAGCTCCACAGAAGGAGATGCAGAAATAGGACATAAAGCCACAACCATAGGGATGCCTGCAGCAAGTCAAGCCAGAACGTACTCACTCCAAGGGGGCTTTACCCTGGGAAGGGTCATGGTGCTCCCTGCAAGTGGCAGGATCGTGTTGTATCATCATCATCCCAGTGGGCTGATCAAATGCTTTTAAACTCTGATATCTGTCACCTGCCATTACCCTGCTCCCCAGCAGCACAACTAAATCATTCTTATTTACCTCCCTTATTTAACTCCATACACCCAGCACCGCTGGCATTAGAACCACCAGCTCCATCCCTCTTCTAGAACATCTACCCTGTGTGGATAGATGCTGTCAGTGCCAGACCACTCACTTCCCACTGGATTTCCTTGGTCAGTGCAGTCAGGTCCTGGTGATTTGTTACTGTTTGCTTTATCTGTTTGTCCTATAGCAGTTTCTATTGACATTTCAGTCAGAGATAATTCCCCTGATCCAGCTCCCACAGGGAAAGCATGCAGTAAACACTGACACAGAGTTCAGCCACACTTTCTGCTCTGGCTTTATCTTTAAGCATCTCGTGTGTGCTGCGTTCCTTTGCTTCCTCCACACCCTCTCTGGCAGGCTCATGAGGGCTTTGCAAAGCTCTGTAGTGTTAGTAGCAGCCTCTAAGAAGCTGTTCCTGTTGGTTTGTCTTGCACTTCGCTTCTCAGAGTTGACACCTTTCCCTGTGGACTCGTGTTTCAGGTGTCCTGGAGGAACGTGCCTCTGCTCTCTTGCTTGCTCCACCCCTCTGCTGCAAGTCCTGCCCTTGCAGCTCTGTGTTTTAGGGCCCCATTTTACCTGTGTCTGATTCGGATCCTTGGGTAGCCTCTGTTACTGCTGGCACAACCAAATCACTCTTACTCACTCCCTTTATTTAACTGAACATACGCAGCAGTGCCGGCACACCAGAACAACCAGTTCCATCCCTCTTCCAGGCGCTGTATCCTGTTCATCTTCCTTCCATCAGATTTCCAATAGGTGATTCTATTCCCAGTAAACGATTCAAAGCCCAGCATGTCTCTTGTCCCACCTCTGCTGGTCCCCCACCAACCAAAGGACCTACCTGTTACTGAACACCTTGCTGCAGTTGTAAACCTTAATGGACAGCGTTTCTCCCATGACGAGCTTCCCATAGTGAGGCCAGCGGAAGAGCTACAAACAGAGCATGAAGAGGGGACAGCTTGGGCCAATTGGGTTCCTCTGTGAGGTGGCAAAGAGCACCCCAGAGAGCTGCTGTGGTGGGGAGTCACCTTCCAGGGCAGACCCTGCAGCTGGGATGGAGGAATGGTGGGGAGGGAAGTGAGGGTCCCTCCAGCAGCACAGAGCAGCAGGCAGCCAGAGCACCATCACCCTGGGAAGAGGAGGATGCTTGTGCCTGTGGGGGACACGTTGCTTGCAGGTTGTGGGGTGAGAAGGGGCATGGGAAGGTGCAGAGATCACCCAGGGCAGAGAGCCGTCAGGCTGAAGCACATTGAAGAGCTGTGCCCCAAGGCTGCCATTCACCTGACACCCAAACAGGCTGGATGCCTGGTGGCTGCCAGGAGGGAAAGCTCCATCCTGCCCCAAAGGCCTTCTCTTCCTTTCTGCAGGCCAACCTGGCCTTGAGCACTGCCAGGGATGGGGCAGCCACAGCTTCTCTGGGCACCCTGTGCCAGCGCCTCAGCACCCTCACAGGGAAGAGCTTCTGCCTAAGAGCTCAGCTCAGTCTCCCCTCGGGCAGGTTCAAGCCATTCCCCTTGTCCTGTCCCTACATCCCTTGTCCCAAGCCCCTCTCCAGGTTTCCTGCAGCCCCTTTAGGCACTGGAGCTGCTCTAAGGTCTCCCCTTCAGGAGCCTTCTCTTCTCCAGGCTGCCCCAGCCCAGCTCTCTCAGCCTGGCTCCAGAGCAGAGCTGCTCCAGCCCTCGCAGCTGCTCCATGGCCTCCTCTGGACTCACTCCCACAGCTCCAAGCCCCTCTTGTGCTCGGGACCCCAGAGCCGGACACATGGATGGTGCTAGGAGGAAAACTCCACAGCCCCCCATCCATCCCCGCGCTCCCCTGGCTGACACGGTGCTAACCGAGACCCTGCCACATCCCATGGACAACCCCTGCAGAGGAGCTCCGGAGCTCTGCCCTCACCTCCTCAAACACAGCCTCCGAGCTGCACTGGACCTTCCTCGTCTTCTGGGTGAAGCCTTGGGAAGGAGAGCGGAGGGAGGCGTGAGGCGCCGGGTACCGCACACCCCATCCCTGCATCCCTGCATCCCTCCCCGCTGCCCCGGGGCGCACCTCGGAAGCGGAGCTGGACCTGCCGCTCTCCGCGGCCCGGCAGCCGGCTCAGCCGCCGCACGCCGACGCTCAGCGCCATGGAGCCGGTGTGGGGCAGCGCGGGCCCCCTCGCCCCGCTCCGCTCCGCTCCGCCCGCCGTGACTCAGCCCCGACTCGCCCGGCCGGTTCGGCCGCCGCTGCGCTCCCCGCCCCGCAGCACCGGGGTTAACGGGAGCGCTCGGGCGCGACGGCACCGGCCCCTCTCACGGCGGGGCAGCGCTGAGGGGAGCGGAGCGCAGGGGCCGCTGCTGGCCCTTCCCGGGGCAGGGAATGGAGGGAGAAGGGGAAATCCCCCTGCGGAGAACAGGGGCTTCCAAAGGCGGGGCTGGAGGACGGGAGCCCGCGGCTGCTCTCGGCCACCCCTGCGGCTTCCCCAGCACAAAATCGCGGCTTCTGGGGTTCAAAGCACACAAAGCAAACAGAGGGAGGGTGGGGAAGGGCCTGGCAGCCCCAGGCTCTGATGGGGAGGGTTGGGCTGCCCTGACACGAGGAAACTGCACCCAGACCAGCATGTGCTCAGCAGCCCCTGCTCACCTCCTGCCTACCTGCACCGGAGCCTGCCGAGAGGAGCTGAACTGGTGGAGGCTGGACACCAGAGCACACTGTCTGTGGGTGCAGGCTGCAGCTCAGGCCCCAGCTCTCCACAGGACAGAAACAAGCAGAAATCCATGAACCCTGGGGCAGGAGCTCCAGCTGCTCTGCATGGCCCTGCACGGGCCTCTGGCACCAGCAGCACCTCATGCCAGGGGTGTGCTCACAGCTGCACTCACCTGCTGGGCCTGATGCTCACCTCACCTGCACAAAAGCTGGTTAACGAGAGCTGTTGGAACCCTTCTGTAGCCCAGATCCAATCCAGGTGAAAGCAATTGTGCAATCACGAGCTCAGCAGGCTTTGGAGAGCGTTTCTTCCACCTGGGGGTCTGGCTCTCCCACTCAGTGCCCAACACCAAACACCTGCACCCACACACCTTGCAGCAGTGGCTAATCCAGCTCTGCAAACACTGAGGAGTGAATCACGGCTATGCAATGCCAGGCCCCTTTGAAGCGAGCCCTGTGGTTATTGCCTTTACTTCCCCTTGCACAAGAGCTTCCTGAAGCAGTGGAAAGGATGCCACTTCAGAGCGGCAACAAGACCACAGCAGGCTGGCAGCATTAAGCACCACCTTTGTGAACCCAGTTTAGGGCAGCACATAAAGCTCAGCTCTCGAATCCACACACAGTCATGGCTGGAGCAGAGCAAGGGCTGCAGTTCAGGCTGCTTAATGACAACGATCACATCACCAAAGCCTGCCATGAGGGCAGTTTTCCTCCCTCTCTTCCCCACTTGTAGGCGTTTCTTCAGGCAGCCACTCAAGCAGAGAGGCTGCTTGGTTCCCTTCAAGAATCTAAGGGCAAGAAAACTGGTGCTGCAGGTTATATGATGCAGTGTTTCAGAAGAGAGAGCCCAGCTTTCTCTAGAAGAATCAGGGAGAACACACCATGGTCAAAACTGGCTTTAAGTAAGAAACTAGCACAGCTTAACCTAGTGCTCCCAGACCCACAGCCCTTCAAGCACAAGCTCCCTACTCGTTTGGTGGCGGATACCACCCAGAACAACCAGTCTGATTGAAGAGGTGGATTCAAACCCAGGTTCTGCTTTCACGCAGGTTTGTAACTGACCCATTCCACAGCCTGAATCCCCAGGGCAGTCTATTCCATTTCCTGGTTTACTGGTGGAACAGACAAGTTCCTTCCTAATTTCACAGTAAAGGAACAGCCCACATTACTGCAGGACAGGGCTGCAGGTTACACATTCCACAGCCTCAGTGATTTATCAGAACCAGGGATGATGGGCAACCTGCTCTGCTTTGCAGCTGATCACACTCAACCTGGGCTAACTGAGATGCTGAATCATCACCAGGATACAACTATAGCAAAGACCTTTCATAAACCAAAACAGCCCATCACTAGGAGAGAAAAGCAAAAGCAGAGAAAGGAAACAGAGTCCAGACATGTTACATAAATCAAAGCAGGTTATTTATTCATGAAACGGAAAGTGATGACCACTCACAGTGCAATGACAAACCCAGGCTTCTTTATCCCTGCTTTGAAACTCCTGCCTCTCAATACAACCGTGCTTTTCTACAGCCCCCAGACCACAACACACCCTACACCCTTCACCCTTCTGGGGACAAGGAAGCACCTCTCTCTCTGGAGCTCTATAGGCAGTTAAGCCTTAGTTTTTGTAACCTCTCACACAGCAAATCACTCAAAGCATCTTTATAGCAATGCTTCCAGTTGCTGGATTTTGAAAGTCACACGAATGTGACTCATTGATCCCACGCTGCCCCTGATTAATGAATGATTAACCTTCATTAATCCCCCCCCCCATAAGCAAAGTGCAGAGTTCAACAATGGCTCCCAGCAAGAGGCCATCACAAAGCAGTTCTTGCTAAGAGAAGAACACGATTAAAAATGAGGTGGCAAAATAGGGTCACTGACATGTAAAAATAAACCTCGACATATAAAAATATACTGGCACTTCAGAAAGGCACGACAGGAACTACCTCAGGCATCCAACCAACAGACTTTGGTACCAACCAGGGCAGAAGGGTCCCCATTCCCAAGGCAGCTTGATAGAGGAAAAAAATGTATCATGGAATGTATGACAAGTATCATTACAGCAATACTCCTACCAAGCTCAGCACTGAAGCAGTGCACATGCCTGCTCTGACACCAAGCAGCAGCTGGGTCCTGTCAAGCAATGATGTGCTGCTGCTGTTTCTAGGTAAAGAACTAACAGGATGGTGTTTGCTGTGATTGAAACTGCCAGCAGGTGTGGGTTTCTCCCATGGTTACATTCCCTCTGATGAGGAACAGGAAAGATCAAAGACAGAGCACAAGCAGGTAAGAGCTTAGTGTGAATGGTACGATCCCCCAGTGTGCAAGGGAGGGTGTGGGTGCTGACAGCTCTCTTCACCCCGGTGCTGCCACAGGCGGCCAGGTCAGGCTGCAATCTACATGATCTTTACTTCAGGTGGTTTCACGGGTGGCCACCCCTGCCACTTATAGTAGGCCACCAGCTGCTTCGGTACTTCAGCCAGAACCATCTGGGACAGCGCTTCCCGGGGGGCCTGCAAGGAGAACAGGGAGAGTAAATCAGGAATGCTGCAGAGAAAGGATTGATGAGCCCAGTGACAAACTCTCTTACCAAGTTCAGAGCACAGCCCGCCACATGCCTGGTTCAAGAGTTCCTTGCTGCAGTTTTAAGAGCACTCCCAGTCATTCCCAGTGAGCACTGCTGATGCAAATCCCTTGTTCCCACCCCTCACAGCTCCCACCAGAGCCCAAGCTCACACAGCCTTTATATGCCCCTGATCTGGCTGGGAACCTGCCCCAGGCACTAATAATGTCTCTTATTTTGGGTTTTCATTTTGACTCCACTCTTCAACCCAATTCACTGTGCAATGTGCATGAATGTTAGTGCCAGCAGTGCAAGGAGGGAGGAGCTGGAGAATGACAGGACAGCTTTCAACAGCAAGGAAGACTTCCATCAGCTTCTATCACTCATGGAATTCAGCACTGGAGACTGATAATATGATCTCTGGTCCTTGCCTAAACGTTTGCAGAGCAGAAGAGATCCTTTAACTCTGCCATAGCCAAGAGCTAGCATACCAAACCAGTGATACAACAGCTACTGAAGAAAAAGCTGCAAGAGAGCTGCGACAAGGCATGCAGTTTCAAACACAGAAGCAACCATCCCAGCTCTCACTGGGAGCAAGAAGCTTGGACAGCACTGTGAGGGTGCAGCTCGCTGCCTCTAGACACATACTCAGTTTCAGATGCAGTAACTGCATATACACTGGCACCAGGGCTGCTGAAGTCAGAGACAACGTACATTTCTGAACTGCCGGAAAGGCACGAACTGGACAATGTCTCGTGCAGCTGGTTCTCCTGCCAGAGACTTCAGGACACCGTTATCTCCATCAAGGAACTCCATTGCTTTGAAATCAGCTTCACCAACTCCCACAATGATGATGGACATTGGCAGCTTCGAGGCATTAACAATCGCCTGCCTGGTTTGGTCAAGGTCAGTGATCTCTCCATCTGTGATGATCAGCAAGATAAAATATTGCTGAAAAACATCAGAAAGAGCCAGTTAGGGAGTTCAACACCAAAGCTCACACAACAGAAGGGAAATGGAGCAATTTCTTTCCTCACTTTACCAGTGCATTCTATCCCATCATGAACATGGGAAACAGAAATATCCACCCCAAGGCAGATCCACAAGAAAGAACATGCACTCACTGAAGCAGTTCCTTGTTGTGCCGAGTGTGCTGCAAACCGTGCCACATGGTTTATAATAGGAGAGAAATTGGTTGGCCCATAGAGTCGGATCTGAGGCAGGATGTGGCGGTAGGCATCCACTATTCCTTGGATCCCTGTAACACAAGGAAAGCAGACTGCCATAGGAGCCTCACAACTCCTCCTGTTATTACTTTATGAGCATTACTAAATAGTATGGCAAAAGGGTAATAACTCTCACACAACTGTGAACTCCTACAGGGCAAATAAGCAGCAGGACAACAGTAAATACACAAAGCACAAGGCTGAAACCAGAGGACATCTGCAGAGATCAGATTTGCTGTTCTCTCATTGTGCCTCTAACATCACCATGAGCTTTTCAGGCAAGCTCTGGGAAAAATAATCCAGTGAAGCAACAGAACTTTCAGCATGGATTAACAATCAAATTAAATCCAGACCCCTTCACTGGATCTTATGGAGACCACACAGACCACACTCTGCAGCAACACACATCCATTCTTGTCAGCATCCAGGTGAGAGGATGTTTGCTGCACATCCTGTTCTGCATCCATCTTTCACCAGTTATGAAAGGAATACAACACTTCAAACATCTGTCCCTCTCAGTGAAATACTAAACAAAGAGGTATCCTCACCTTGACAATAAGGGTTGCTGGGGTTGAAGTTCAAAGCAAACTCATGGGATACCTAGGAACGGCGACATTACAAGCACTTACAGAATGCAGACATGGACAGAGCAACTGTTCAGTGTTGTGATGGTCCTACCTGCCAGTCAGGTGGAACCTGAGCTCCAAACCCAAATGCAGGAAACAGCTTGTCCCTGGGAGAGAAAGGGAAACAAGAACTGAGAAAGAGCAATCTCTTAATAACTCACTAGTCTGTTTTATTGCCAGAAAGCAGCTGGAGGTTCAATTCGGGTCATGAGGAATGGGTACCCCATCTAGCTGCCCATGCCCACGGCCAATCACCAGTCACCCAAGGGTTTCAGGCCTGATTTTAGTATTTCTTTCAGTGCAGCACCCACAGGACTCTAGATCTAGAGATTTGGAAGTAACAAGAGAAAAGCCACCACAGCCATAGCGTGGCTGAAGGACAGAGCAGACAAACACGTTCCCATTGAATCAAACATTCATGTCTGAAATGCACCATCAGCAACAAGGGATTAGTGAGCAGCTAAAGCAGCATTAGAGAGTAACCCAGGGCCAGACAAGGGCAGTCCTGGAGGGACAAAGCAGGGAAATATGCCAAACTACAAAGGGCTGCCACTGCCCTCCCTGGCAGCAACAGAAGCAGGGGGAAGCAATAGCAGCTCCTGAAGGGAGGACTCAAGGAAAGGCAGCACCTCAGTCATTCAAACACTAGAGGTTTGGGCAAGCTACCAGCCTTGATCACTGACACATGCTGCAGTGCATTTTTGATGCAGTGGCTGGATCAGTTAAGATCACCACATACGTGTCATAATCCTGGACCACACTTCCCACGCTCCAGATGGCAACCAGGTACTCATTTATCCCGTCTGGGCTGATGTAGTGAAGAGAATCTGGTGACCTGGGATCTCCATTGGAGCCAGTAAAGTCTACACCCACCTAATCAGGCAAGAGGATGAGAGCAAGTCACTGGTGCACCACCAAAAGCAAATGAGAACAACCATACCCTTATCAGTAAGCATCTGGTTTTGCAGTCTTCATCACTATAAATTCACACTGCATTTGTCATTTACATCACAAATTAAAGTACTAATTACAACTTCATTGCTCCTGTCCAGTTATCTACCAAGATGTGCAATGGGGAAACAACTCACTGTGAAGTTAATCTGGCAGCCTCCCATGACGTAGTCCAGGAACGAATATTCTCTCTCAATCTGGAGCAACAGACAGGCAGTGTTGTACCTCCTTCCCACAACAACTCACTGCAATCAGTAAATAACAAAGCAAAAATACCCCAGTAAAATCTGCCTACCTTGCAGGATTTTATCCTAATAATGCCAGAGTTTTTGTAGCTCTTTTTCTTTTGTTTCTTCTCAGGATGAATGCATTCAAATTCCACCTACAGAAAGCAAGCATTGAAGAAGCAAGTCCCCAGATACCAACATTTATAGCAGGACACATTATAGACACAGAACAATGTCACACATCACACAGTTAGTTATCCAAAAACATGGCAGAAGCCTTGAACTTCATTTTGAAAACATTTGCAACTACTTTGGTTGCTCTCTGACAAAATAAATGGGATGCTTTTGCTCCCAGCACTGGCAAAACACAAGGAAAGACCTCAGAAAAGTCCTTCTCCTTAACATAACTATTATTCCACATGCAATCATGAAACAACGTGTCGTTGGGTTTTCAGATTACAACCATAGAAATGGAGCTGGCTGGAAGTGGAAGCAATCCCAGGGTACATTCTGTGTGTGAATTCATCTGCCTGAATTCAGATGAGACATCTCCATAAGAATGAGAGTTCAGGCTTTCACTGCAAACAGAGAGAAACTGGCATCACCAGCAACTGATTCAACTTATTGTACACTGGATGCCCAAAACAAGGTAAGAAGAGTGGTGCTTGGAAGCAGTGCTGCTCTCTGTCACCTGAAAAGGCAACCAGAGCGCTCAGGAGGGTGACCAGCTCAAGCATTAGACAAGCCCTACCTCTGCACCTCTCTGTTAAAGCATGAACAAGCCCTTTTATTTCCACTTGGCTCAGCAGAGGCAAAAGCAAACTGAACTGCTGGGGAAGAGAGCTGGCTGTCAGCAGACCAACAGGCTCAAGGATGTCATTAGAAATAGGAATGATAACAGTACCCAAGGGAAAAAGAGCAATGTAATTCCCATACCAGGTTTATTCTTCCCAGATGTTGGCTTAGTAATACAGAGATATAGACAGGAAAAGGATTCTTGGAGGCAGCAACTGAAAATATCTCTGAGGTCAACACGAAAAGGTTTGTGAAAGACTGAATTCTGGATCAGGTTGGGGGGATTGAGGAAACTCACCGGAGAGCTGTCACCTTTCTGTAGCTGAGTCAGGGTGGTTTCAAAAGTGCCTATCAAGTCATGCAAGCCATCGCTGTCATGATCTGCACACTGGACCTGAAGAGAGAGCAGCAATGGGCAAGTGTATTGCATCAGGGAGAATACAGCTGTTCACTGCTGGATTGGCTCTGACAGCCTTGCAGCAATGACAGCACAGACCCCTTCACACCTGACCTGGGGGTAGCATCTGTATCACTAACTGAGACCTGACAGGAAGAGAGACACCGAGAATGAGTCTCAGAGAAAGGAAGATGTTCAGTTGCTCACCCACTTCAGTAAGCACAGTGGAAGTTTTAATTAAAAGCTTTCCCTAGTTTAAACACAAGAGAAAGAAAAACAGCCAGTGAAATACCCCAACGTTTCACAGCCCTGATGTATAAACACAAGATCATTCAGGACACGATACGCAACTGGGGTAATGGGAAGAAGCAACTAAAAGTTTCTTATCTAAGCATCTTCTGAATACACTCTTCTGCCCAGCAACAGCACCAATCTGCAACGAAACTGCCATTTCCACAAAGCATTTGCTTTTTCTGCGCTTTTCACCAACCGAATTATAATACCTAATTAAGAGCCAGTCATGTTTAAAGCAGCACAAACAGCTTCCAAACCAGATCATGCATCAGGGCAATGCATTTAAGAATTAAAATATGCTAATAACTCTGGCTTAGAGCAAACACAGCAAGACCCACGTTGTCAACAGCTCCAAGGAGCATTTATAACATGCACAATACACACGACTGCACAACACAGGTAGCTCCAGAAGCAGTCGGTCAAGGAACAGTTGTGAACAAGGAACAGTTGTGAGCAGCTGCTTCCTCCCCTGCTGAAGTTCATGTGCCACAGAGATTTAAAAGCTCTCCAGGATCTGCCTTTAGTGATCAAGAAGCCGATGCTACTCCAGTACAAATCACAAGGTGAACCCATGGGTAACACCTCAAGGATGTCAAATTCAATGGCTAGACATTTGGATTTAAAACAGGGCTCTTTTAGGGTGGATTACTTTGATCCATTAGGGATCTTCCACTGTGGGGAAACCCCTACAATAAGCCACGTGAATTATGGCCTAATCTAGCCACCTACATGGGAAGCACTGTATCATCCTTCAGTCTCTGAATGGGAAAATAAGATCACCTTAGAGACTGTGTCTCCTCCATGCCAATACACCTGTAGAACTGCAGAGAACTCCTACACCTCCTTCTCCCCTCCTGCTTTCTCCCACTCCCCCTCACAGCCACGCCAAGGAAACTGCATTTAAAACCACTTTTGTTATTAGTTCACAGAGTGACAGAGCTTAAAACAAAACTCTTTTCACAAGGGCTAAAACTGGCCAAGATACACTGTATGCAGAACCACTGTATGCAGCACCACACCTGAAGAGTGGTGCTGCTGCGAACAAAACCCTGCTAGCAATGCTGCAGGACACAGTATATAGTTATTCACTGATGAATTACTCCTTCACAAATGAACCATCCAATATTCATTATGAGCCTTGGAATACAGTCAGTGGGTTAAAAGGCCCTTTTCACCTAAAGGAGGAGCTTTCAAAATTGACAGGAAATGGGTTTGCCTCTATGTATGTGCCATCAGACGCGTGGAGTGGGAGCTTTAGTCCCAATACCAACCCCCCCAAACATCACCTTTGTTCTTTCCATTTAAATAACTCCAGGGAAGAGATGCTACTTTCGTTTGCCCCTATTTTTTAACAAAACTGTCAAGAAGGTTAGGCTGTGTCACAAACCTGAGCTGTTCTGCATGCAGGAGAACATCACTGCATAGCAATGAAAATAGAACTACCAGAATATTAGGTAGCATCACTAATCTGATCAAAACATTCATGTTCACCCACATATTCAGCACATAACCCTCATACATAGCTGGCAAAGCTGGTGTTTAGGGGATACAGCAAAATACTTCCCCTTTCCAAGGAAGTACAAGGAGCTCTCCCTTCACTGACACTTACTTCACACGCAATTGTCCCTACATAAATATTTGGAAGCCTCAAATAAAGGGGTTCAGAGCAGCAAACACCAGGTGAAAAATGAAACACCAGTGGGTTATTACAGCCCTTACTGCTGTAAGTGAACCTGTCAGCCTGGATTCCCCTTTCTGACTGGCTTCCCTCCCCTGTTCAGTACAAGAACAGGATAATCCTTTTCCATAGCTACGTTGTGAAACAACAGATTATATGCACATGCATCCAGAAGTTTGGCTGAAACAAACTAACAGCAAAAAAAAAACCTACCCTTTGTAAGAAGCAGGTCATTCCAAAGGAAGCTTCTGGAAAACCAACAACTACCCCAAACAGAACCAAAATTCAAACCAAACCAACCAACCAAAACCAACCACCTAGCACACAAATCTTGTGGGGCTATAACAAATACAGCCTCATATAACAGAACATGTAAACCATCCCATTTCGTGTCAGTTCTGACAAGTGACAATATGCATCTTTGCCATCTCCTTTCCACCTTCACTGCACACTTTTGGACCAAGAGGACTTCTTTCTGACATAAGACTGTTAATTCACCAACAGTAAAAGCTCCTGAACACCACTTAGAACATTGCCACGGATCAACAAGCACAGCACATCTGAAGTTAGCAATCTCAGTAATTCTTTGGACCTGCCATGCTGCAAAGTAACCACTTCAGCATGCCTGCTTTTGGCTAAACCTTCCGGATCCAGCTCTCAGCATGAGATTTCTTCATAGGATGAGGCAGGAAAATTCTACAAAAGGAAAGTGTTTAGGAGTCATGTAAGCAGAGAGAGACCATATGCACGCTGAGCTATCTATGGATTTTAATGCCTTTACATTATCTACGGATCTAAATGCCTTTACATTATCAGGGCTTTGCTTATAAGAGAAAATAACAAATTTGCTATCAGATTTCCTTCTGTAGAAACTTATGAGAAGATACAGCTGTTCTGCTACTACCTCCATAAGCCAGGACCAGAGAGAGAATCAGTCATCATACACAAGACCACAAGCTACCGCAGCTCCGACTAGCTGGAACAGATTGAAAGGGGGTTGGGACAAGCCTGCCAGTCTCATGAATGGATGAATCAGAGAAGCATTAAGGTCCTCTCTATGTCAATATCCTAAGGCACTCAAGCTTGTCCAACACACACGAGCTTCTCAGTTAACTCAGAAACAGTGCTAGAAAGCCACAACTTTAAAATAAACAAACCAATAATAAAACCAACCAAAAACCCAAACCAAAATAAACCCAGAAAACCACAGGACAAAACAAACCCAAACCAAAATGTAACCTGAAACCCTGGCCAGAACAGTGGAAAAATAAGTTCTAATTCTTCTTCTAATGAACCACTAGGAAGAGCATCACTTCTGCATTTCCTGAACTCTTCATTTGACAGCTAAGTATTAATGTATTAATATAGACTTCATACTTAGTCATATAATCACTTCTCTGCCACATTCCTGTTCTAGAAAGGCAATGTAAAAATTTCAACAGGACCAGACAAGCTGATAACTCACAGTTAACATCAACAGATTGGAACAACAAAGAAAGGATCTGAAGGCTGTACCTTGATGGGTTTATTAAAATCTCCACCACAGAACGTCTGCAAGGGAACACTGAACTTCTTCCAGCATGGGTTTAAGTTGTTCTTAATCACCTTAAAAAAGACACAGCATCATGTCACATGAGGGATGTGGTGTGCAAGTCACTGAGAAACATCATGAAGTGTTCTGCGCGGCTCTCTAACAACAGCCTCGGTCCATTCAACCCTGATGTGCATGGATGGCAAAACAAAAGCTCTCTAAGAAGTAAAAGCCTGAAGCTCAGGGTGAAGTTAAATTTTAGAGCTAAGCCAAGCTAACTGCTCATCACCACTGAAGGGGGCAAGTCCTGCCACGCTGCTCCCTTGGTGCACGGTCAGGCTCTTCACTGAGCCAGTTTCCCGCAGTCACCAGGCAGCAAATACACAACTGGGATATGAGACAGCTCTGGACCGCAGAACTGGTGCAAAGCTTGACCAGGAGTGGACTTCCCCTTTCAGTAGGAGTAAGTTTTCTGATCAACTCAAGAAAAGCATGGGTGTAGAAATACTACCTCTGATCTGTACACCAGCTGCCATGTTCCAGCATCACTCTGCTTGTAGAACTCCAAAAACGGGTCCGATTTACCCAAGAAATCCTGCAAACAGAACCCCAATGTAAGCAATCAGCCTCCTACATTTTACTCACATAGAAGAGAGCTGGTTAATACTTTACAATACACAACGCTTAAAGCACAAAGTCAAACTACACCACCTAAACCCGGCAGTTGAGTTTCCAAGTCTGACATTGTGGACTTCAACAAGAAATTACGCCTCCAGTTTGCTTCATTGTAAGTAAAGAAGCACACGCATTCCTGCAAGAATTACCCAGCCTAGTTGAATGCAAATACAAAGAGAGTCCTGGCCAAAAGCCACTAACTGTAAATATCACACAAGCATGCAATGCAGTTTAAAACAATACCTTTTTGTCCAAGTTTTGGGCTTCAATTTCCAAGTACACAACCCTGGTGTCTTTAATCTCCTCTGCTGAAATCTGTGCCACAGAAACACAGGGAAAAAAAACTGTTAGAGAAGTAACCCCACAGATTTTTGCTTGTACTTGGTCCATGAAAGAAACTGTAGTTTTAAGTACCCATCTTTCCTGTACACATGCAGCATTTGAAGACATGCTGACAGAAAACCAGAACATATGAAGAGTGAGAAACCGTTTTTCCCATACAAAAACTTACTTACTGTAATGGTGCCCTTTCCTGCTGGCTTTCCCTGCTTCAATTCCAGCGGTCGGGTGAACACAGAGCTGGACACAACCTAGGGTTAAAAGACAGATAAATATAAATACCAGGGTAGACAAAGAGCAAAGAATCACTCTTCAAGGGCAGAATTTTCAAGCCCTTCTAAAAGATCTGAAAGGATTTAAATGCATTTCCAACAGCGACAGCCATCAGAGGCTGTGCTCCTGAATGGCTGAACAATCTGAAAAGTGCCTTCTCTTGCTATCCACAGAACAGCACCCTCTAACAAGCCTCCAAACTTAACTTCAGCCTCCTATCTTTGCTGAGACACAAGGGGTATTTTCATTGCAAGCAGCCAAAAAGCCGTTAAGATGATGACTATTTAATTTATCAAGTCTTTCTTGAACAACATTAGCCTTCTTTCTTCTCCTGCCTCGCTATACAAACCCCTCATCAGGAAATGAATACAGAATCTCAAACAGCCTGATTTCCTCGAATTTACTGATGATCATTTTATATGAAGGAAACTCATTAAAGCTCTCCAAGCACAATGCACTCCTTACTTCCAGACTGCCTTTAGTGCTACAAGCGCCTCCTAAGCAATTAATTGCAAACCATGTGTATTTCCAACCTCTGCTTTGTCACTGTGACAGAGATTTTTCTAACTACTCTCCACAATAACAGAAATGAACCTGTTCAATGAGATGGTTTCAAATCTGAATGTGACAAAGCCTTTGATAAAGCAATCTTTCACCCCATTTTTCATTATAAATCTACGCTTGCTACTACTTTGTACATCATCTAACATGCTTCTAACACATACCTGTCCCAATGTGCACTCGACCCCTCCGAGGTAGTCATCATCATTCAGATCAAAGGACTTGTTATCGATATCATACACACCGAACTTCAGCTTCTGCACCTTCTCAAAGTAGTAATCCACAACCAGTTTCTTGCAGAATTCAGGGTTTTGGCAGTTCTTGATCCTCTCTGTGCGATCCAGCTGCACAAACACAGAAACAAAGACACTGGTGATGAGTAAGAAGCGTGCTTTCTCCTTCACAGCTTTTCATCTGCACTGGTTGAACACAAGCACCAGCCAGGCTACACCCCCAAGCCCTTGCTTTGTGCTTGGTGATGAACCAGGCCATGCTGGCAGGCTGACCGATGGCTTGGCAGGAAGGGAAACTGCACTGGATAATAAATGTTACTATATGGGAGAACTCTGAAACTAGGGGGGAAAAGGCTGGGGGAGCACTGTATTCTGGAGCAGGTGATTTGGGGTAAAGGAAAGAGGGCAGCCCATACTTTAACAGGCAAATAAATGATCCAATGCAACTGTAAGCAAATATATGAGAAGTTAACAAAACAACAAAGGTAAAACCTGAACAGAGCTTGAGCATGAGCATCGGGGGCTGCTTGCTGGATGCAAATGTAAATTAAACACATCAGGCACCCACTAGGAAAAGCAGTGGAATGGAAACAGGGAAAACCCGGCATGCCTGGCAAGGGCAACGCGGGGCTGACCTAACCCTAACCCTAACCCTTACCTCAGCCCACTGGCCACTGCCCAGGTCCTGCAGCAGGACGCAGAGCGGATCCGACTTGGAGCCCAGGTCTTTGTCGAGGAGGCTCTGGCAGGACACCGACAGCTCTACCTTGGACACGCACCCGGCCATCTGCGGGCAGAGCACAGGGTCAGACCCACCGACAGACCGGTAACAACAGGCACACCGGTAACAACAGGCACACCGGTAACAACAGGCACACCGGTAACAGGCACACGGGTAACAACAGGCAGACCGACTGCGCTCCGGCCCCGCGCCCCCCGCTGCCGGCGCCACTGCCGGCCCGACGCGGGGCTCCTCAACGCGGGGCGGCTGCGGGGTCGCGGCTCCCCGCGCACCGCCCGCAGCAGCAGCAGCAGCGCCCGCCCCGGTCCGGCCCCGTTATCCCCGTGTTCCCATCGGGCTGTGCCTGCGGCTCCCTGCGGAGCCCGGGGGAAGGGCACCGCGAAGTCCCTCCCGCACGGTGTGCTATGGCGGGGGGGGTGCTTACACCGGCCCCGGCGCCCAAGCTCTGCCCGTGCAGATGCTCTCGGAGCCGGTCACCTCCCGCGGAAATGAAACCCCGGCCGCAGCCGCCGCCCTGGGCTGAACGGGGTGAAACCGGTTCAATCCCGTGCAGAGCTGAGCGCTCCGGAGCCCCGCTTCTTCCCGGTGCTGCCTTCACAAAAACTGCAGTGTGAGCTCGCACCAGGGTGGGAACTGAATCTTATTACACAGCTATGATAGAACCGGGCTGGTCCCAGCCCCTGTGTCCAACCTGGCCTTGAGCACTGCCAGGGATGGGGCAGCCGCAGCTTCTCTGGGCACCCTGTGCCAGCGCCTCAGCACCGTCACAGGGAAGAGCTTCTGCCTTGTATCTAATCTAAATCTCCCCTCGGTCAGGTTAAAACCATTCCCCCTTGTTCTGTCCCTACATGCTCTTGTCCAAAGCCCCTCTCCAGCTTTCCTATTGCCTCCTTTAGACACTGGAAGCTGCTCTTAGGTCTCCCCTCGAGCCCTCTCTTCTCCAGACTGAACAATCTGAATTTAGAAGATTAAATTTAGAAGATGAAAGCTTCAAGCATCAGAAAAACCATTCAAGAGACTCGACAGCTTGGGAGCTCTAACAAGCATCTGAAATGTGAGTATTTCATAGGAAAGGTCCTTCAGAGTTCAGAAGGAAATCACTCTCTGGTCTTTCTGGTGAGTATCCACAGGGCTCATACTTATAGGGGGTAAATATCTCAATGAAGAGATTAACTTTTATTAGACAACATTTAACTCTTTTGACTGCCCAGTCTGCCCTGGACAGATGTTAATGTTACTTAACTCGCTATTGCATGGCACTTGGATGCTCCAGTGATGGTGGCAGGGTAAAACCAGTGCTCAGTCCCAATGTCAGCAAAGCTTTAGGCAAAGGAGGATCCTTGTTCAGCTTTCTGCTAAGGTCAGCATCTTCAAACAAGTTGAACAGTTGACCAGACTACTTCAAATCAGTCAGAGCCCTCCATCTTCCACTTCAATTGCCGTAAACCCCAAGTGAGATCCACAAAGAAACTTATTGCCTTTAATAAATACATTTCTCCTAAAGCCATAAGTCAAGGTATTGGGGTTTTCCCTTACCTACCCGTGCCATTGCACCAGACCAGCTTGCATCTCACAGTCACGTCTGCACAGTGCAGTTCTACAGACAACCAGGCATGTGTGTATGACACCATCTGTTTGACAACAAGGAAGATCAGGACAGCCAGCCTCAGCTCCCACGACAACATTTCTCCTCTGTTTTCATCTATTGCAGAGGTTTCTGCACCAACAGGAGACAGAACCAGGGCTACTTTTCCTTCCCACCAGAGCACAAAGGATCAGAATAAAGTTAAAGAAACAGCTCCCTGCAAGCTTTAGCATCCCCTAACAGCAACAGTCCCTTTCTGGGAGGAAACCACTACTACCCATCTCAAACCACACATAGAACAAGTCCATACACATTTATACCGTGTTACAAAGACACCAGTAAGTTAAAAGTGTGAGATGGGAACTTAAACCACATAATGAAGCCTGAAGGGGAAGTGACACAGATCAGTACCAATTACGACATTAAGAAAATACTCCACGGTTTCAAGGATTTATCTTTCAAGACAGTAGCACCCAGAAGGCTGTCTCATCCTGTTTTGGATTCAGTAATGGCATAGGATTTCCCTTGAAACACAACCCAGATGTTCTGCTGAACCCCTGGGAAGTGACAAGCCACAAGGGATCCTTTCCTACATCCTCCTCCACCCGGAGGTCACAGGGCATGGGCTGATGCAGGTAACAACCAGGACCACACAGACTACAGCCTGTCTGGCTGTTGGTAGCAGCAGAGCAGGAACTGTTTTAACAGGCTGGACTCCCTCCTTGCCAACGCAGGGGATAACAAGAAAGCTGGTTTAGCAATCCAAGACAACCGTTATCCTTAACAGATTCAGATCAAATTCATGTGTAATCTGAAAACATCAGTCTGAACCTCAGCCAGCAACTGTTTATATGTTGCTGCCTACAGACATCCCCATGGAGCCCACACAAAGTTGTTTTTTCACTTCACAGCTTTCCAAATACACTGCGTGGTGTTCTCCAGTTTCAATCCATCCCTTGGAATAACAGCAGCAGCAAACCCTGCTTACACACATACCAGTCAACACATCTCAGCGGCAAGAGCAGGGAGTAGGAGGCCTGTTAAAGACAAAACATCTATTTCAGTCAAGCCTGAAGATCTGCCTGGCCCCTAGGGAAGCCCCTTTACCCAGTTATCCTGCTCATGCAGTTACCAGAAGCAGCTCAAATCTCTTGAAACCTGCCTGTATCTGAAAAGCTTAGAAAGATCAAAAGCTTAGGTTGTTTTCATTCCCAAACACACACATACAAAAGCACTGAAGGGGGGGAATAATAGTGGAGCTCCTCAGCAATGAGGTAAACAAGCCCCAACCTCACTTATCAGATGTTTCTGAACAGGATTTAATGATGTTTAGCATTGTCTCAAATACTCTCTTTTCCTCCCTAAAGCAAAAGTTCTGGTATTTACTTTCACCCCTCTTTTACTGTAGTAGCTGCATCTCCTCTCCTATAAAACAAAATGAATTGTTTGTGATATCTATCATTTGACTTCCCTCTCCACAAAGGCTCTGCTCATTTCCTCCGAGAGGAGCGACCATCCTGAAGGCTTTGACAATACCACTTGCAACAACCTCACGTCTAATCCAACCTCCCATCCCATTGCCCATGGAGCAGAACCCTGTGATGCTTTCTCTTTCAAGTTCCCGCATTCTGAACTTTCACATAACCCTGCAACATCTTCTTGGTATTTCATCACTCTGAAGGCTGCCCAGCTGGCACACGCCAGCTTAATCCCAAGGAGCAAGCACTGTGCCAGCGGTATGGCTTTGAACTGAGGAAGCAGTGATGCTTCAGCACTTACCAGTGCTTTGTACAGACATACAATGAGAGAAAAAGGTTCTAGGTGTTACTATGATCAAGCACTCCCATCACCCATGTTATCCCTGTGAACTCTAGGGCAAAATACTACCTACAGAAGTCTAAGATCCCAAGCACGTACTCCAGAGAAGCCTTTCCCTGCTCAACCAGACATCATTCCAAGTTACTCAAGTACAACACAGAACAGCTCCACACTAAGCACGCTTTAAGGGCTCAGACAGCCAAACTGAGGTCCAGTTAAAAAAGGCAACATCAGGTTTACTACGCATACCACTTCTTCCCAGTAAGATCACAAACTCTAGCAGTTGTGTAACATGAATGGAAAGAGGAATCCTGTATTTCCAAAGCAGCTGTTCTACACCAGATTGAACCACACCAGTAAAGAAACTGGTCCTAAATAATCAGAGACCAAAGAAAAGCTACATTCTAGGAAAATCACATAGGAGATCCACGCAACAGCAAGAGACTACTGCTGCTTTCTGTAGTTTTATTGCAAGCACTGCAGAATTTCCACCCTTTTCACATTTCTACAGAAAAATCAACTTAATTTCATGCAGAAAAGCACATCCTCCAGTGTGACCAAAATCAGCTCCATAGACAAGTCTAGTATTAATTTCTCATCATTCTTCTCCTGATTCAGCTTAACCAAAACTTAAAACCAAATCAAACATAAGTGAAGGAAGGCACAGTCCACCTTTGCTTGCAGAAAGCTCCAGAACAAGCATGCTGGAAGGTTTCAATGTCCCAGTTCAGAGCTCTGGAGGGTCTCCCATTTCCCCAGAATGCCCCATACGGGTGTCTGAAGCAGAAACAAACACTTCTGTACTTATCCCTCTGCAGCAGGAGGGCCACCATTTAGTCGATGAAGGATCAAACGCTGGACCACACAAGTGACAATTACTGAATTACACCATTTGTTCTTACATGCTTCCGTACCACATTAACCTGAAAGCCAGAGGCTCCCGTTCCCTCTAACACTGGGGAGGATGGGGTGAAAAAGGGGAGCCCAGGGCAAAAAGAGGCTGTGACTGATCTCCCCAGTGTGGGAGCTCACAGAACCCAGAGTCACCCCAAGGACAAGAAAAACTGAACAGCTTCATGGCATCACACACCACCAGCAGGACTTTTAGTGGTGTCTTCTGGAGAGAAAGCTTTATTGCAGAAGCCAGCCTGGTTTCACTGCTCCAAGTAAGATGGAATATAAGCAAGGATTCAGCACAAGAAAACCTATGGTTTGCTCCTAGTTAATCACATGAATAAATCCTCATCAACTGTATCACACTGTACAGCATACTCAATACATTATTTCAGCATACACCAAATATTACACACTGAAGAACTTGGTTAACTAAAGCTTAAGCGCAGGTATTAAAGCCTTAAGGACAGCTGAATTCCAACGAGCTTATTTTGTACCAGACTCACTACAGCTTCTGCCTTACATTCTGCTTACAAACAGAACACAAGCACAAGCAATTCTGCCAGCAGCACAAACCAACTGCAATTTTCACCCTCTCTTCAGCTACTCAACAACTCAAGAAATAAACCCAACACATGTAACAAACCATCCCAGTTAATAAATCTTGCACTTCCCAACAACAGAACATAGTTTTCTCCCCTTTTCCATTGCTTCATTTAATCCCACACCTTGCAGTTATCAAGCTACT